ATAGAGCGATAGGCTCAGAACAGATATCCTGCATTTTCGCCCCGGTCAGGTCATTCAAATTTCTTCTTTCCGAGGTTGATAAGTGAGTACCATTCTGTGGGAAGGAAACATGAGACTATCCATATGGCTCTGCTTGCCACATAGCAGCTGTTGAATCGGCCTTTAAAATAAGACACTCCAGGCTAATGACAAAAATGCAACTCAGCGTGCAACCACTAACTTCATAAATATGGCCCCATCATGAAAGAGTAAAGACTGACCTTAAACTTTCCTTCCTTTTCCGTTAAACACTTAAAATCCTTATACTACTGTCTTGCTTCGTTTTCTGTTGTTCTGCGCTCAAATAAACGTCGCAGTGTCGATTCGGTTGCTGGTCTTTTACTTCCTGTGCCGACTCCTTGAAGCTGCCGACGACAGCGAGATGATAAAAAGAACAGTTCCATTGGTCTATGCGGTCTGTTGTATAGCATGGACTTACAATGTTTTTCTGGGTTGACAGAGTTTTCGTGGCTTCCGAACATATTTAGCCCACAGCTTGGGGCAAAAGATTCTTGACAGCAAGTTATTGTTGACATCTGTCATCCTGATCTGAGGTGCGGTAAGCACGTTGGCATTGCTTGCCCCATATTAATGATTATCCTACGTATTCTACAAAGGATTTGACATTCTTTGAACATTTTAAATATTTTAAGGCATACGCTGTCGCGGGCGGTTGTGGTTCTACCAGAATCTGTCAGATTTTAAACTGGCCTCATTTTCTGCGCCTTGTGGGAAGAAAGTTCTTGTCAAGCTGTCTGTCTTCTGAGAACCATGAGAGGCGTTGTTCTCTCGTAGTTTTTCAGCGCTTCCTCAATCTGGCTGATTTCAGAATGTGATTATTCGTTACTCGATGATGCTATCAGACCTTGATCATGTTGCGCAAACAGCGTTACTGGAAACAGTTTAGCTGATGTTTTTGGTACTTCAGAACGAATGAAAAAGTCCGCTGTATTCCAGATGAAAAACCGTCATCTTCATCAATAGTTACCGATCTTTCCGTACTTCGTGCAACTTTCGAATAATTTCCTAGACTTACTTGCATCGACTGTTTTCTAGCTGCCAGCGATGACTGAACCCAGACACTTGTAACTGTTCACCTCCTCCACCATCTTGTCATTTAATTCCGTATCAACACTGCAGATCATTGTTAGTGCCCTCGTCGCGTTGGTTTTTGCTTGGCTGACTCATGACCCCACCTTCCCTGCCTTGTTACACTAGCAAAGAATGCTTCAATGTCGCTCATGCGCTTTCTCTCTCAATAGAACGACGCTGCCTGTTGTTTCAAGCTCCTTTGGCAAACTGCTGACCATGAACCCCTTTTCTCCTCATGGTAAAGTCTTTCGTTTCATTTGGAACGAAACTTCCCCGCATGGCGCAATTAACTACAATGCTGCACAGCACTGGCGAGAACACTTCACCTTGATGAACACCCGATAAGCGGGTCTTAAACAACTGCGAAAAGCAGCATTCGGCTTGGACTGTGCACGATGCTCCATCAAA